GCTTGCCAGCGCCACGACCACAGCCTTCTGGGCGCGATTCCACGTATATCAGATACGGCCCAGCAACCTCAGCAATGATGTAGCGTTGTGTTAAGTTTACTGATCATGCATCTTCAGGGAACCTAGGGACCTGGATACTCTACAAGACATCAGAGATTGAACGTCAACAGACGACCATCGTTCACGTCCCTGATTTGAGCCATTCGCAAGTACCTTTGATGATCGGATAATTGCGAAGGGCCAACGACTTCGACATATTCCATACATTTGGACTGTCTCAGTACAATGCATTCCAGAATGTCCAGCACGTTGCGCTCTCATGTAAGATAACGGCACATCGTCTAAATAGGAGATTGTGTGTTTTCAAATCAGACGCCTCAGTTTCACATTCGAGCAAACCCGTGTAAGAATACCGTAAAGACTTTGTATCAAATCGTTGAGCAGCAAGCAATATTCCACAGGCGCCAGGGAGCTTCCGAGCTAGCGTTTCCCGGTAGATCCATCCTGCTACTTTTGTCACAACCTTTGGTTACGTTATTGCACAATATCCTTGGCCACTCCGACATAGCCAGATCCATTCTCGATCCACGTATTCTTCCAGATCTGCACCAGCTCTTGCGAAAGTCTTGCCATGTCGAGGTTCCTCTCACTTGAACTCGCTAGTACCTTCCAGCCTTGCTCGTGTTCTGCGCTCACATCATCGATCATGTATGTGTACTTGTCGAAATTGTCGGAGCCCGCAATGAGCATGTCATTCACACCATTGGCGAACCCGAATGTAGCGAGAACTTGGTTGTAGCTGACCCAAGCGGCGTCTGTCATGGGAATGCTGACCTTGTAAACGATATTGGGAAGGATGCCATCGCGTTCGACAACAGTGTGTAACGAGTCGGCCATGTAACCGTCGATGAAACAATACAGTTTTTCCCGGTCATCCTCACAAAAATGGACCCCTGCTCTGCGAATCATGCGGAGGGGGGCAATGAGAACAAGACGTTCCCTTGCCTTGGAAGCAGTCAGTCGCGCAACTCAAGCAAGAAAAGGACTTTGAAGCTTACATCAGGACCAGGTGTAACCGTACGGCACAGTGAATCGGATTCAGGTCTGGGCTTCATCTCGTATGCAGGCGTCGCAAGAGGCGTCGAAGTGTAGAGTGGCGTTATGCTGTGAAGAGGCGAAGGCGAAGACAGCCCCGCAAAAGAGGCATGCGAATTTGATCTACCAGGAGGCGTGTCTCTGCCACCTACGGTATGGCCAGGGATGTGATAGTCGAAGGGTGACCGGTATGATCCCTTCTCCCATCCATGCTTTGGCGCACCGGGCGGGATCAAGGCAGCCCGCCGAATCGAGTTGGCGACTTCAGATGCAACCGAACCTACAGCGGTTGTATGTTCTGGACGAAGAGAAAGGGAGGGCCTCCGCGTGTGTACGAGGTTGCGCGCGTCGGCCAGCCGGTTGCCAAAGCCGACGTCTGCAAAACGCGTATAGTTGCGGTTCTCCACCAGTCGCGGAATTGTCGGTGAGGACGCTGATGGGGAAGTAGAATTTATGCGAGGGGGGACCGACATGCTTTCCTAGTTGCTGATGGCGGAGAGTGATTGCAACGCGTGTTTCGACCTCAATTTGATGGTAAAGAGCTGGAGCAGAAGCGAAAGGGGAAGCGAACACACTAGAAACACGCTCTCAACTCGCTAAGAGGAAGCAGCCAAGCCTGTGACTGTTTGTGGTGACAAACACAAAGCTCCAGTGAAGGTGTAGCGCCATTCATTGAACCTTCAATATGTGTTCTGCTTTGGGAGAGGCGACATGATCGATCTAGTTGCACGAGAAAATATCGATGGATTTCGTTGTCACTACAATTTGTTAATGATATTCAGATTGTGGTCCGTGTTGTTTACCTAGGTAGTCACTAGCACTAGCGAAGAGGACTCGACACCCGTGCTGCTATATCCAGTATAGTCTGTAGAAGCCAACTAACATAGTCCCAGTGTGAAATTTGGTATTCAGCCACCGAATGCGAAAGCTTCCCTTCGCCTTTAGAAGAGAGAACTCAGATTCGATCGCAACTTGATGTCTATACTGCTTCCTAGACCATGCACTGGCGTCATATCAAATGGCGGGCACCATGGCAAAAGCGCCATCTGTCGGTACTAGAGACTTTCAGGGCCGAAGAAGCAGCGAAGGAAAGCGCTGTTGTTGTTCGCAGAATTTGGAACGGGAATATTGAGGTATGTCCTGAGTGTTTTGATAGAGTCTAGAACATTTGTTTCTCTAACGCTAGCCAGTATGTCACTTGCGGCCGTCTTGAAGACCAAGCAAGCATTTGGAATCGTTGCAAACGCTCACTACGCTACCTCCAGAACAGGCCGCGGCGGGATTCATCTCAACAGTACTTTGAGCATGACTCTAGTTCAGTGAAGAGCGGTGGAGAGACTGTGACAGTGACCGTAAGAGAAGACGCGCACAACGAGGAAACACAAGAGTCTGGCAGTGAGCCCTGGGAGGGCGACTATACTAGCCTTCTAGCCGAGTATGGTATACGATAGTTGCTCTATAGTTTCCTGATGGCTCCTCCGCCTTTATTGCGTCTTATATCATACCCAGGTAGTCATGTACACCACCACATTCTGTACTAGATAGACACTGCAAAATCCATGTAGCTACCAAGAGCACGCTTTGTCACTATGCTATTTGGATAATGTCTCTGCCGGTGTTGTCAGATAGGAAAAGCGATATGATAACGCGGCGAATCCCATCTGGGTACCCCCAAAACAGCGACGAAGACAAGATCAACTACACCAGCATAAGTAGCTAGGAAATGGGAAACAATTTCGCATTCGAGTATAGATCTTCCAGTACTCCAATCACGTACGACCCTAATCTGATAGTATCAATGCTTGACCGTAATGAGATTGAATCCGGGCCTGTCTCGTTTTAGCAGCCGTACCGCTCATAGATGACGTATACTTTCCCTGGCCAAGACATTTCCCACCTCTGGATGTGGCCTCTGAAGTAAAGCTCTCATCTATCCCGCTCCTTGAACCGTCGACTCAGCTCGTAGAGCCTTTACAGCCGTCTTTAGCCACTCTCTCGCTCAACTCGCGCGTCCTGCCTACGAGATGGACTCGCGGCTACCACACCCTCGCCAAATTCAAGCACAGCTCCAGGCACTCGGCGACGAAATCCAGAGCATCCGCGAAGAACACGATGGCCACATTGTCGGGCTAAGCCAGCGTCTGCAACAAGCTGAGAACCGCCAGCGACAACTCCTACATCAGCTCCAAATTGCTACGAACCGCTTTCCTGGACCGCCTGGCAGTAGTCACAGTGGTTACTCGAGTTCGACTGCCAACCTAGATAATCCTCTCCCTCTCTCGGAGTCTCTTATCGGTACTGGTCGCATCACAACACCTCCACGAGCACATACCGGTGGCGCCACGAGTAACGACAGGTATGATCGTACCCGCTTCTTATCATCAGGGGAGGCTTCTTCTAGACACAACAGCTATTCTAGTCGCCCATCCCCTGTTCAATCGGTGGATGCGAATGCTACACCACGCGCACAAAACGCTGCTCCCCAACTGAACCCAGTCCGCCCTCAGCAGCCAGTCATTGGTAGTAAAGACAACGCAGCTTATCTTCCTATGGTCATGGAGAATATCATGTCCGAGCACCGCCGCCACAAACGTGAGGGCACCTTGAGATCTTGGTGAGATGCTCTCTGAGCGAGCGCTCATGAATGAGTGATAGTGGCTAATGCATATCAGTGGATTCGTTTTTCCAGAAGGGCGGACCAACGATGTCAAATGCTCTCAAGACTCTTTCCATATACCCTGCTTTCGTGCCAACCACTTCTACTATTGCCGACAACACATGCGTGTCATCCCTGGTGGGAAGACGGTTTGTAGCCATAGGAACAAGCAGGACTGCTTGGTGGTGATATTTGGTACGTGTTCCAAACGTGGCTCTTGTGCTCATACGTCAAGACTGTTAGTAATCATCCACAGAAGATCACGATGACTGGGACCTGATCGTGGATGCTGCACTCGCGGCAGGCAACCTTGGCAACAAAGGAGTGGATGTCGAGGATCTGAAAGAGGCTCTCTTCCCTCCTCAGAACTACTCTGATCGATACATGAGCGCCCCTGGCTGATTTGGAAGAAGATAAAGTACCCGGTGGTATGAGAAGGGTTTTAGGGCGAGGAAGGGCAGAGAAACAGTTGCAGCGGTGGATCAGCTCTTCGCGTAATCCCCCTTATGACCCTATCTGAGCAACTACATCGAGCGTAGTGTTGCATACAGCCTGAATGCGCACCTAGAGACAAACATTGAGCGTATCGAGTGTCTTTCGCGGCACGGCCTCGGTGTCTTGGAGATGTTCATGTTTAAGGCAAGGTTCGGCGTTGTGTGTCGTTGGCGATATTTCAGTTGTGCCTCCGGGGCCATTGATCCCACGTAAATCATGGATACCGAGTATGGCGACGTTGGGAAGGTTTGCTGAGCCATGCTTGGTGTCGTTAAGATTGTAGGTTACCACCTGGGCACGCACGCTGTGGTCCATGTTTCGTTTTTTGGCAACGCCAACACGCAAGAAGAATACCTAGGCACGGCTGCGCGACGCAACCCACGTAAATGTTATTGTTCAACGGTCGGACAAAGCGCGCTCACATTTGGACGAAGTCGCCCATGCCCAGCTGAGAGTACCTAGGTAGACGAGAAGCGCGCGTCTTTGACACGCGCTAATGACGCTTGGGCCTTGTCGCATGATTTGTCATCACTCAACAAAATATCAAAGGGGGCCGGGGTGCACAGAAGAATTTGCTCTACATTGCAAGCTGCATGCAGACGCGCCTTGAATTCTTCTGCCAAGCGATCAACTATCGCTTCAGTACGCCACAAACCATGTGTATTAGACCACGCTCTCATGTCCCCCGTTCTCCCGACCTCGGGAACTGGAGGTCATCTTTTCCGCTGCAGCTCCCTCCCTCCACTACACTCCCTCAACCGAAGGTCGAGTTCAGTGGCCCGAACTTGATGTTGCTGTAGACAACAGTGGCATCAGCATGTTGGCTCTCAATGTCTGCCGGCACACCGCTCGTCGTCTCGCATTCTCCCCTGCCGGTACCTAGATCCGTGTCTGGATTCTTGTCTGTGGGATACGTAGAGTCAAGCCAAAGCATGTTGCTGTAATGGTCATCCCACAGGCTCATGACGAGGACCATGCCGTTTGCGAGAGCCTTTGCCATGTTCGCCATACCACCCTTGTCTTTGAACGTGTATGTATCGTGGAACGCAGCTTTCTGTTCGTCGCAAAACTTTGTTGTGATGGAGTTCCCGTCTACGCCAGGAATAGTAGATGCAGGCTGCGCAATAGTCTTGCCGTTCTGGACATAGAAACGCTTGATCTCCATAGCGTCCCCGGTACCGACAAATTGTGTGACCACGGTGAACTTCTTTGAAGTGTCTACCGTCTTGCCCTTGCCATAGAAGTCTTTGACACCCATGCGGTAGCTGTTGAAGTCACAGCCATCAGGATCGCAAACCCCGGCATAACGGTCGGCCGAATAGGTACCTCCGCAACCGTCGCCGTCACAACGAGACTGCTCGATTGTGGAGCACGAGTGTGGGGTGACGGCTGTGCTGACAGCGTTCGCTTCCCAGATGTCCATCTCTGCGCAGCACGAACCATGGCCCCCAACCCCTGCATTCGCATCGTTGGAGGATGGCTGCCAACCTTCGACATTTCCCTTGCAGCATTCTGAGTAGCTGAAAACCAATTCTTGGAACCGAGCGTGACTTACCTCGCCGTTGATGAACTTCAAATCCCGTGGGCACTGGGCGTCGCAGTACCCTGTGCCGTATTTGGCGCCAGCCTTGTTCGTCGAGAATTTCTTCAATCCGCCATCTGCATCCATTGAAACAAAGTACAAAGCGCCATTGAATCCGCATGGCAGATTCGACACGTCCACATCGAACGTGAACTCTTGGTTGCCGGTAAACTTAAACATCTGTTCAAATCCACGGATCAGTTGAGTCACTGTTTGTACCTACGAGAACGTTACTTACCTCGTAAGTCGTATCATCCTTCATAAGATACGTCCGAGAACCGATGTTTGTGGAGTAGGAACCCTTCGTGATGAACTTCAACTTCAGGGAGTTACTGCCCGCGGTGATGCCGTATGTGCCACTGTAGTCTGCACCGTCAACGGCACAGTTGGCCGCACATGCCTTATTGTCTGGGCAGGCAGTTGCGTTCCACTCGTTACCTGTGTAACAGTTGTCATAGCTAGTCTTGTGTTAGCAGCTGAGTCAACCCAACAGATTGTGCCTATGCCATTACCCTCCTTTGACATGAAGCCATCGCCAATTGGCGTCGATGACAATTTTACCGTTCTTGGTTGTGCAGCTACCCTTGGCGGTGCAAGACTGCCATGTCATTCCTGGATGGGTTTCGGTTTGCTGAGTACCAACAAGCTGTGCGTGAACGACGTGGTAAAACCACGCGGCAATGACGAAGTAGTGATACATGCCCAGATGGTGAGCAGTACAGGCTTTGGGGTTTCAGTAATATCGTGGGCAAAGACTGACAAAGGGTTGAATCAAGATCATGGCAAGTGCATCGGCAGGCGTCTCTTATGTCCCTTTTCGCGGAGCCTTCTAATTACCCTTGGGCGTATGTACTCTATGTTCCATCTTTCAATCAATGTGTCAATAAATGCTAAACCACGCTTCGACTGCTGCAATTGGTGTTCAAAGCCTTTTCTCGCATACCGATAATGCGCGGCCCCTACATGCCATGTCGAGATTCATCTCACAGGAGGCTAGAACATGTCCGACCACAGACGCGGACAGCGTATGAGATGAATTGACTGCTTAGTGCGACGTGGACACCCGTAGGTCTATAGGGCAATCTCCACGCAATGTAGGAATAATTAGACATCGTCATCGGAGTCAGAGGGTCACTCGGACAGGCGATGTGATGCAACAGCCCTCTTGTTCGGCTGTCTACCTGGCTAAGCATACCAAGCATCTTCAAGCTCACTGCCATGAGCTGGGCGCTGAGCACTATTAACTGGGTATTTCAATTCAACGTCAAGAGCAGCTCCTGCACAGATGCATGCGCCTCGGCGCCTCAGACCCGGACCCGTAACACCCTGTAAAACTACGACCAGAATGCGTCTTAGGTCTTCGATGGGTCATGCTGTCACTGCACAGCGGAGAGTTCAAATGCCGAAGAAGACATGAAGGCAAGCCAAGCTGATCATCAATTATATGAAAGACAAGTACCGAAGAGGGGTAGATTGACGATACTATTGATACCACGAGACTGGTAATGAGACATGACCAGCATTCCCCGCATTGGCACAAAGAGGACCCTACCTAGGTATGCACGGGACCCGATGAGTGCGTCGAAATGCCGGCGATTCCATTTATTAATCGTCAGCACTGGTGACGCTACACTATCGGCAGGATGAGTGAATGCTACCTAGCTGGAGGTACCTAGGTATGGCGGCCTGAGCGTACCTGGGGACGCAATGGTTAACTGGGTCTGTTGCATCTCCGTCTTATATCCGAGTCTGTGCGCTCCAACCTATTGCCTCATCTTCACCTGATCTCCGCCTTGTCCGACCTCCAGCTGTTTCGCCATTGTCAACGCGCATCGCAGTCCCTAGTTGCCATCCGTCACATGCCATGTCCGCTCCCGGCGCCGAGTGGATTAGCGACAGGTCTCGCGAGGAATCCCCAGAAGGTCACGATGGCTTGTCGCAGCGACGCACGAGCAAGAAGCGCAAAGTGTTGTCGTGCTACGCTTGTCGCAACCGCAAGATGAAGTGTGATCGCGTCTTTCCAGTATGTGGCCGATGTCAGAAAAACGACAGAGGTCACGAGTGTACATATGACCCCCGGCTACTTCAAGAGTCCCACCGTGACAGGGGCGCTGCGTCTCTTGCGCTTACAGAGCTGCCAGTCGAGAGCGAGCCCTCCTCGGACGCATCGAATGCATTACAACGAAAACTCAAAACACAAGAGAGACGAATTGCCATTCTGGAACAGAAACTCATCAATCGAAATGGCGGTGGTAATCCCCCGCAATATGGGGAGTTTGTGCCCCATGAACCCAAGATCACAGAGGAAATCATGTTCAGAGGAAAGGGTTTCAGATCCCAGTTCAACGGCGCAACGAGTATCATGAGCATGATCTCCACGGTACAGTCCCAAGCCTGACGTCAACGTGATAGAAACTGACCACCACTAAGTATCACGAGCTACAAGCTTTTACGCGAGAGGCTTTGACCGTCGATCACTCCATCATGCGTGTCAAAACCGACTTCAAAGCCTTTCGCGATCAGAGGAAGAAGTCTGCGAAGAGGCAGGCCACTAGATGCTCTGACATCGACTCTGAAATACTCGCTATCCTTCCGGAAAAGAGCATAGTTGATACGCAGGCGGCTCTCTACTTCCAAACGTGGGAAACAAGTTATAGAATCCTGCACGGGCCGTCGTTCTGGGAGGATTATCGAAGTTACTGGGAATCAGATCGGGACGGAAAGGGACCGGTGAGCTTCGCCGTCTTGCTCGTCTTGCTCGTCGCAGCCACGAAGTGCCTTAACCCGAAAGTTGATGTGTTTGTTGGTGACACGACTGCCGACAGGCAAGCGGCTCACGAGCTTATTAATTTATGCGACAGCTGGATCGCTGATCAGCCGCGCAAGCGGGTTACTTTAGCTTTGTTCCAGCTACAGTGCCTGTCGTTACTCGCGAAGCGTGTCAATTGCGTGCGCCTGAAGCAAGACTGGGTCGCATCGGGTGACCTACTGCGACTCTCCCTTGCATCTGGTCTACACCGTGATCCCTCTCTGCTCGGACATGGTACGATGACAGCTTTCGATGAGCAAATGAGGAAGCGTCTGTGGATTACCGTCATGGAGCTGGAGCTCCAGTCGTCCGTTGAGAGTGGCATTCAATCTTCGCTCTCCGGACTATACTGGGACTCGCCTATCCCTGATAATCTTGGCGATGAATCTTTTTCGCCAGATATGCAGCACATGCCGGCGGTATGTAGAAACGAACCTCGGAAGAAAGCGTTCCCTGTGAGACTGACACCGTGCAGTCCGACGAGAACTTCACATCAGCTTCGTACCTCATCGCAACTACAAAGTCACTTCCACTCCGTATCCATTTGACGCAAGTGTTAAACACCCCTTCCAGTGCTCTCGATTACGACGACGTGCTGCACTACGATGCACGGATCCGCTCTGCATTGGCCGCACTACCCGTCTGGAACGATGATCGCGCACTCGTACCTTCCGCACTCCTCCAGTTGCAGTTGCGACAGTATCTCTTATTGGTGCACAAGGCCTACGCCAGACTAGCCTGCACAGACAATCGCTACTTATACTCGTTCACAACTTGTGTAGAAACGTGCAGCTCTTTGGTCACCACGCACGATCGCCTGCTATCAAGAGGCGTTCTAGCGCTGAACAACTTCCGCAACGACGTCATCAGAGCTGGTCTGACACTTTCGCAGATTGTCTACCACAACTGCACTCTTCGAAAAGTAAAATCGTCCCGTACCCCTGCAACTGATTCTACGAATCACAGTGCAGACCATCACACTCATTTTGCAGACCTGAGTAGGCCACGGCGCTTGGCAGCCTCCGATACATGTCTAGACCTGTATCTCACGGCACTACCGCAGGAGTCGTTCCTTGCAAGAACACTATGTATATCTTCGATGGACATCCTAGAGCGAACGAGACAGATATTTGAGATCAAGGTCTTCCGGCTTGGTACAGGATACATGGAATGCTGGCTGTAAGTTATGTGTCAACAATTCACAGCAAGAATTCGCTGATTTTGGTTCTCGTATGCACAGCATGTCTGCTGCAGTAGGCATGCTACCTCCTCCATCACCTGCTACATCCATAGCCTACATCAACAACATCCACGATGACGTACTTTCAAGATGTCACAAAACGCTCGACTGGTTTACCTCGTTGGCTTTCAGAGTACTAGCTCTACAACAAGATCCCCTGAGTCGCTTGGCGTCTTCCCTTCGCAGTACCATGAGTACTAGGGAAGAGATCGTCTCGAGGTCAATGACCGCTGAGAGTGCACCTACCACGTCACCAGATGGGGTTTGCGTAGAAGCCAACACAAGTAATAGTACGAAAGAAACGTATGGACCATTCGATTCACTACAGGACATACAGTCAGATATGAGCGGCTGGTCATTTCCTGACTTCTGGGCGTTTGACCTTGGCGGAGACTTCTGATCTTCATACATGCAATGACGTCAGATAGATACCGCAGCTATAACTACGTCTTCGCACATGTTAGCAGGTGTATATCATCAAAGACATTGCATCGCCCTAGCTCCTACTACTCCATGCTATTCCGGCGCCGTGACTCTTCGAAGTGTGCTTGTTTTCTACTCCACACATACTACAGTTGTTCTTTTTTTTTCAAGGTTATGTAGAGTCTCTTTACAGGTTCTCTTATTAAGTCGTGCTTTTCGACAGTACTCTATTATCATCTTTAAGAGGTATA